CCGTGAGGCTCCCGGAACGGCAAAGATAACGACCTTCTTGCCCTTGAAGATGTCCGTGGTCACCTTGGAGGCTGGGCACGCTCGATATCAGTATCCATCGTCGTTCTGTGTGGGGGTACTACATACGGGCACCGCAAGCGGCGTGCGAATCGAGCTCGGGCGTGTAGTACACGGTCGCGAACTTGCCAGTGGGGACGGTGTCGCCGACCTTGACATTAACCATGTTTGCTATGTGAGTAGGTGTGGGTTGAAGGTACCGCGAAGGGAGAATTTGTGGTGAGAGAGAAGCTGGAGTGCTTTGAAGATTGAAACCGACCAGTGGTACCCCTTAAGTATCATGGCCGCGTACTCGTCACATGACGATCGAGCGAGATTACCAACGGTCGGCGTGAGCAAACCTTCTGCGCCGGTGTGTCGTATGACGCGAGAGGGGCCACAAGTGAATACATACGAGAAGCTGGAGGTGGTGGGAGTAAGCATCGATATCTGTCACGGGTGATAGGCAGGGACATGGCAGCGTCATGGAGCTTGCACATTTTCGTGATCTGCTTGTGCAGCAAATGGCTTCGAAGTTCAGGCATTCGAAATACTCCAGGGCAGGCACGTGGTGCTGTGAACTGGACTTGCGCCGCGGCGCAACAAGTCGTGCTCAAGTCGTGCTCATACAGAGCAGTGAGCCACTGTGGGGCTGAATTTGTGAGTGGCGGCATTCTGCTTTGCGTGAAACGATTCTCTCCGCTAATCGTATAAGGTAGTATGTCAAGCAGGCTCAAAGCGACTGCATCGCTAAGACGCATCCGCGTCGAGCAGTGATCAACTCTCGTATACGCGAGAAGCTACATGATCGTGAGGTTCGACTTTACTCAGGGTCCCTCGCTGGCGAGAACATCTATCATATCTTCCGTCGATCCTTGCGAAGAGTGTCAAGATAGACGTTGTGTCGTATGAACGAAGTCGGGAACCCGGGTCGAAGCATACCTCAGTCCGGGAGCGGCGATAACCCAATCGAGCGCAGCGCATAACTAGAACATTCACAAGTTTGCTCGAGATTATAGTGCATGAATAGGAAGCCTGAAACGAGATGAATTCCTAAGAGAAGCAAAGTATGAGCATACTTCGACACCAGTTACCACCTTTCGGACTGTCTTCGGACGTAGTTCTCAGCCTCGGACATCGAAGGTCGCGCAATTTGTAGTGACATGCCTGTGTGACATATTGGAAGAGAGCCGTCGCCGCATCGCACGCGTCCTGGTAGCAGATGAAATGGACCTGTCAACATTATCTTCGTGCCTCTAGCAGCGCATTGTACAAAAAGCCCTCGCATCATCTGTACACTGCGGAGTAGGGTACACCTGGCGATATCGTCTATGGTGACCTGAAGTACTGGGGTACATCTGGGGCGGAGCGGGACCCGGATAAGGCGGAGGAGCTCGACACCTTGTTATAGCGATGTGTCAGCGACCTCGGAGGGATGTGCCACTTCACCCTGCTTGGCAGCGAGAGATAGTAGATGCGCGCCATTCAGTCCTCCTCGTGGTAGTTTTCCGAGGACCTCCCGCTCTTGAGCTTTCGTGAGCTTAACGTCGGTATGAACGTACGGCTTCAACTGTACATCACGGCCCATCTCTATCAGACTTGCACAGGAGGTAAAAAGGTTACTGCCACGCACCGGAGACGCCAGAATGTCCTCAATCGGCGGCGCGACAAAGTACCGCACCTTCTCATCAAGCAAACGATACTTGGCCTTGCCCTTTACGACATGTTTACCAGGCGCACCCGTGCGCGGACCACCCGGGAGCACGGCCTGGCGGGTGCCTGACCAAAACAGTGCGCGTGAGTCGAGATTCGCTGGGACGGACGAGGCGGTTGTAGTTGAAGTTGACCTTTGTAGTAGTCCTTGTTGCCGCGCTTTGGCGTCAAAGGCTTCCGAGAGGCTTTTGAGAGACGGACAAGAGTGGCAAACATGATGTCCGCCGATTGCTTGCCTCTAGATGCGGGGAATGAGAATTGGCGGAGAAAAGG